TCTTTTTACTGGGCTCGGTGCTGCTCGGTGTCGGCGGCAATAATATGACCATCAAAGATGATATTGCGCGAACCGGTGTGTCAAAGCTATCCCTTTCTATTAACGGTATTGTCCGTGCGGGCATCGGTTATAACTCACATGATTATTTTGCGGGCATCTATTATGTCAACAACCTGAACCAGGATGAGATGCCCATCATTAATTCCTGGCAGCGTTATGAAACCGGTTTGTTTCGCATTGCATTTGCCAAACGTTTTGTGCTTCCATCCAAGGTGACCAAGTCACTGAAAAGAACCGGGCTGTTTTAAAGATCAGGTGGTGCCCAGGTTTGTTTTATCTACCTTATCTACCGCTTCTTCTTTTTCCTGGATACTGGCATTGCCGGTCTCTACTTCCACCTGCTGGGTGGTCACCGCATAATGGTTAGGATGAATTGGCGATCCGTAGGCAATGGCATAGGCCTTGGTAAATTCTGCACCGAAGTAGAGGATGATTGAAGAATAGTAAACCCATACCAGCAGCACCACCAGCGAGCCTGCCGTACCATAAGTGCTACCTACATTGGTCTGGCTGATGTACAGGGAAATAGCAAACTTCCCGATCATAAAAAGTATAGCCGTAACCGCAGCACCCGTAGCCACATCCCGCCATTTGATCTTGGCATCCGGTAATACTTTGAAGATAACCGCAAAGATGAAGGTGATAACCAAAAACGTAACCAGCATATTAATGCAATAAAAGACAATCACCGTCACATCGGGGTACGCAGCCTGCAACCGTCCGCTGATCGCTTCAATAACACCGGTGACGGCCAGCGAAACAAGGAGTATAAAGCCAAGACTGACGATGACTGAAAAAGAAAGAAAACGATTTTGAAGCATTTTCACCCATCCTCTTTTCGGCTTGGGCTTCAACCCCCAGATACCGTTTATAGAGTCCTGTATTTCCGCAAATACGGTTGTGGCACCCACCAATAAGGTAACGATCCCGATAATGGCAGCAATGGTACTCTTATCGCCCACAGAGGCATTCTTAATAATCTCCTGTAACTGGGCCGCCGTGTCTGACCCTACAAAACCGTTC